CAAAGCTTATGGTAAATGTACTGAATTGCAGGCATGGCCTCAAAGAGAGAGAATTGGTGTCAAAAGAACATGCTTAACTAATTCAATCCTATATTGAATCTTTCTCTAACAATTGGTTTCATCCTTGCTGCCTACAAACACTCCCATGTCTCCTTCCTCCTTAAAAAAAAAACACTCAATCCTACCATCCCCACCAGCTAGAGTCCTATATTTCCTTTCTTTCTTGGCTAAACTCCTTGATAAGGTGTGCTCTCCCTCTCCCTCTCCCTCTCTCTCTCCCTCTCCCTCACCCTCTCTCTCTCCCTCTCCCTCTCCCTCTCCCTCTCCCTCTCCTTCTCCCTCCCCCTCCCTCTCTCTCTGTCTCTCTCTCTCTCTCTCACCTCCAGTTCCTCTCTTCTCATTCTCTTCTTAACCCTGTGTAATCTAGCTTCTGACCTCATCATTCAACTAAAACTGGTCTCTCCAAAGTCACCAGTGGTTTCTTAATTGCCATATCTAATGGCCTTTTCTCAATCTTCATCCCTCTTGAGCTCTTTGTATCATTTGATGCTGTTGACCACCTCCTGGATATTCTCTCCTTGCTAGGTTGTCACACTTTCTCTCTATTCAACCACTCCTTTGCAGTCTCTTTTCCTGGTTTTTCTTCCAGGTCCATTTTTCCCTCCAGGGGACTACTATCAAACAAATAACAAAAAGATATAATTTAGTGCAGTCAATTAAAGACAGGTAGCATCCACACTAGCAAAAAAAGAAATACGGAAATAAAGATTATTTTAGACCTTGACTCAGTTGCCATGGGGTAAGTCTTAAACAGAGCCCAAGACTCTGTCATGGTCCCTCTTCTCTTCTTTTTCTGTACTACGTCATTTGACAACCTCACCAGCTCCCAAGGATTCAATTATCTCTGTAGAGATGATTCCCAGATCTATATAACCAATCCTAGTCTCTTTTCTGAGCTTCAGTCTCATACCATCAACTGTCTTTTGAATATCTTCAACTGAATATTCTGTAGGCATCTCAGCTCAACATTTCCAAAACAGAAGTCGTTATCTTCCTCCTCATCCCAACCCTCCCTTCCACATTTCTGGATCAAGGGTACCACCACCCTCCCAATTGTTGAGGCTTACAACCTTGGCATCTTCCTTGATTTATCTCTTGCACTCACTCCATGTATCCAATCAGTTTTTTTTTCATTTCTACCTTCACAGTATCTTTTCTGTACGCCCCTTCTCTTCACACACAGCTAACCCTCTGGTTGGACAGCTAGGTGGCTTAGTGGATAGAGTGCTAGGCCTGGAGTCAGGAAGACTCAAATCTGGCCTCAGACACTTACTAACTGTGTGACCCTAGCAAGTCATTTAATCCTGTTTGCCTCAGTTTCCTCATCTGTAAAATGAGCTGGAGAAGAAAATGGCAAACCACTCCAGTATCTTTGCCAACAAAACTCCAAGTGGGGTCATGAAGTGTCAGACACGACTGAAACAATTCAACAATGATCACTGTGGCATAGGCTTTTATTATACCTGAATTATTGTGAAACCTTTCTGGTTGGTCTCCCTGCCTCAAGTCTCTCCTTACTCTAATTCATCCTCCACTCATCTGCCAAAGTCATTTTTCTAAAGCATAGGTTAGACCTTGTCCCTCCCCGATCAATAAACTTCAATGGCCCCCTATTACCTCCAGGATAAAATATAATGTCCTCTGTTTAGCATTTGGAGTCCTTCATATCCTGACCCCTTCTTACCTTTCCAGTCTTCTTTTGTTTTTATCCCTTTCATATATTCTGTGGTCCAGCAACATCGACCTTCTCGATATTCCTCAAAAATGATACTTTCCAACCTCTGTCTCCTGTGCTTCCAACAAGACATCTCAAATCCCACCTTCTGTAAGAGGCCTTTCCCTCCCCCTGCCCCCACTAGTGCTCTTCCTGTGAAATTACCTCCCATTTCCACTGTCTATACATAATTGTTTGTGTGTTTTCACCCACATTAGAACGTGGACTCTTTTTTAGAGTAGAAACATGTTTTTGTCTTTTTTTTTGATCCACACCACTTACCACAGTGCATAGCACATAATATGTGTTTAATAAATGCCACAATTAGGCAATGCAATGGATACAGAGCTAGGTTGGAATTAGGAAGACCTGAGTAAAAATCAAGCCTCAGATAATTATTAGCTGTGTGACTCCAGGCAAATCACTTAACCTCTCTCTGCTTCAATTTCCTCAGCTGTAAAACTGGGATAAATAGCATGTATCTACCTCCTGGGGTTGTTGTGAGGATCAAATGAGATTATATTTGTAAAGTACTGTGTCTGGCACATAGTAGGAGCTTAATAAATGTTTGTTTTCTTTCTTATTATTAACTATGTTAGTGATGGTAATCATTTAATAGACAAATGGAATTTAATTGAAATTCAAATTCTCCAAGGCTCAAGGGAAGGTTTTAAATTTTTAAAATTTATTTTGTAAGTATAGTGAAAAGTTCAACATGTTTATTTGGGGACTTTGAAGATGAACTAGGAGTGTGCTGGAAGTAGCTCTAAGGAGCTTGTGAGAGCCTGTCAAAATTTCAGTGTGATCATGGCTTCATTTACTGTTTTGGTGATTGTCTCTAGACTTAAGAAAGTGTTAATAATGCAGATTAAACTTAAAAGTGTGTGTGCGTACATCTTTCCCCCAAAAGATCCTCGGTGTTAAATATTTACCAGCATACCCCTTTATTGTTCAATAAACATTGCTTGAGCTTAGCAGGAGTGCGGAAGGCTCAGAGAATGAAGTCATTGCCAGAATAGAAGCCTTGTGACTGTAGGCTAATAATAGTAACAATCATAATAGTATTTATAGAGCATCTTAAGGTTTCCAAACAGCTTTACATCCATTATCTTATTTGAGCCTCTCAGCCCTGGGAAGAACCCAGGAGAGAGGTAACATGGAATATGAAAGAGAAAGAGGGCATGATCATTACAACAAGATCAGGACATGGGATTGAGGGTGCAGGTGGAGGAGTTAGCTTTGGCAAGAAGGGTCACTTCTTCCACTGAGACTAGAAAGGAGAGGAAGACAGAGAACGCTGACATGATTAGAGGAACAGAGGAGGAGATAGATGATAGGAAGTTGTTTTGGAATAAAGCCCCACAGATTATCAAGTGTCCTTTTTAGCACACAAAAATCTTTTAAATCTAATCAAAAATTTAAAGACTGATTGACAAAGTACAGTATATTTAGAGAAGGTCAACCAAGAAGGTAGTCATTCTAGAAACCATGACATAATTGAGGGGAAAAAAGCTGTTTAGAACTGAGAGCTGTCCATGAGAAAGAAGAGAGAAAAGAGGAAGTAGATTTGCTTTGTTTCTCCAGAGGGTTGAGTTTGGACAAATGCACAGAAGTCACAGGGAGACAGATTTTTGCCTAAACCTGCAAAATAACTAAAGTCTTTGGAATGGACATGAGGTAATGAGTTTGCCATCTCTGGAGCACTCAAACATAGGCTAGATGACTATCTGTTAGGGATATTGTAGAAAGGACTCCTCCATTGAGAAGATAGACTCAATGACCAATAAGATGCTGAAAAACTTCTTTAAGAGTTTATGATAAATACAATTACTGGTGGTGCCACTAACTATTACTGTGTAAAATCATTTCCCTTAAATTGAGTCCTCTTGTAAATACCTTTCATTTTTTTCCTTTGCAATATTCTCAGTTGTTTCTGTATTAATCCCATAGGACCTTATGTCTCAGGAATAATATTTATTATTAGTCCTCCTCTCCCTTTTAATTCCACTAGTTGGAACATCAGCTGCATTATAGAAAACATTTATGTTCTAGCCACTTTTCATAATCCTGGGGGGAAATTCTCAAATGACTGATGATTCTTTGTCTATTTCAGAGCCCTCATTTTCATTCCTATCAGTGCCTGCCCTCATTTTACTACTGATTAAATTCATTTTTTACAGCAGCATAAATTAATTATTAGAAGTAAAAACAATAAAAATCTGTAACTCTTGGCAAGATTTTTTTTCAAACTTGGAATAATCAAATTCGAGAGTTGTAATCTTACTCTTTATTAGTGTTTGAGAAAATTGACTGATTAAAGTTTTTTTTTTTAAGTCTAGAGATGTTAGAATAGTAGCCTAGGCTGTGCTCTCAAAACAGGAGACTATGCAGTGAAGTAAAATCTGGGATTATAAAAATAAATTGTATTCATCTGAAAAGTTCCAAACAATAAATTGCATAAATACAGTAATAGCTATTTGATCACCTTGCATTCCTATTATGAAGCAACTGGGGTTGGTTAGGAAACTTATTAAGATAATTGCAGACATGGGGGGGAGGACAATTTGAGGTTCATTTTCTTAAGGCTCTCTCACTCTATAACTCCCAGGTTAACTAACTGTCCAGGAATTTGTTAATTCAGGACTCTATTGTGCATAGTGATACCTAATTGCTGGTGATTGCTGGTTTGTCATCCATTAGATAGCCTTGAGCACTATTATTGCTGAGAACTGGCATGCTGGCATTTACTTAAACATTGTACATTATTAGACAAGTAAATGCTTTGTTGATTGATATATTCACATTTCTTTTCAGAGACCACTTCATATATGAAACCTTTCCATAGCAACCATGGAAAAGCTATTTCCCTTACTGTGTGGGTCCTCATGCCATAAATGTCTTGAAGTTTTTTGAAATATGATAGCAAGATAGTCTCTTAAAAAGATTAGTCCTCGTAGCAAATTGGACAATTCACTTTGCATTTTCAGAAGCTTTTAACAGCCATACATAGACTCTTCAGTTGGTCTTTTTCTATTTTAACAACATTTTGCTACTTTCAGGGTTGGTCGGGTTTTTTTTTTCCTGCCAGGTTGGAAACTTAAAACTTGAAGCTTTAACTAGATCTGATCTAACCTGAGACAGCAGATCTGTTTTTCCACTGCTTACTGTCAGCTGAATGCCTACATCAAGGCAGAGATGAACTAACAGCTGGTTTGTTCCCATTTAGCTCTCAGATGGTTGGCATTCATGAAATGATGGGATGCATTCAGAGAAGAGTGGATCAGCTAAGCCAGCAGTGTTCTGCTCATAAGGAACTTGCTCTTAGGAAACAACAATTAACTGCCTCAATGGAGGGATTCCTAAGGAAGGTAGTATCATAAAATGCTTCCTCCCTAAATTAATGGTTTGGAATCAATTGCACTAATTGCTTCACCAAAGGTAGCTTTAGGTGTGCTTAATTCAGTGCTACTAGGCTGTGTGTCAGCTACAGTAAATGCTTGGGGAGAGGGGTGCTATTTCATCAAAAACTCCGCTTAATTAAGAGTAAATTCATCTCACACCAGGTAGTCTCCTGTCATGCTCCACTTTGCTTTCTCCACAAGACCTATAAGCCAAGAACAGGCAATAATTACACATGTAAACCAGCATTGTATCCTCTTTCTCCCAAGGTAGACACCTAAGGACCCCCATCCCTCTCTCAAAAGCAGCATGAGCAATAAACAGCAACCATATTAGACCATACTCAAGGGTTATATCAGTAGTTCCAAGAACCAGTGGTTCCTTTTTTGTAGATTAGTTGTGTCCAATTCTTCTTGACCTCATTTGTGGTTTTCTTGGCAAAGGTATTAGAGTGGTTTGCCATTTCCTTCTCCAGAACATTTTACAGATAAGGAGACTGAGGCAGACAGGTTAAGTGACTTGCCCATGGTCACCCAGCCTAGTGAGTATCTGAGGCCATTGAACTCAGGTCCTCCTGACTCCAGACCCAGTGTTCTAACCACTGTACCACCTAACTCTTCAATTGGCAAAATAGTGGGCAAAAGAAGTTGCATTAATTTAGTGCTTCCCATGCATCATCTCAGCTGATCTTCCTGACAGAGCCTGTGAGGTAGGCATTAGTATTATATTAGTTTTGCAGATGAGGAAGTTGACACTTAGAGAAATGAAAGGATTGCCCATGATTATACAGCTAACAAGCAACAGAACCAGAAGAACCCAGGTCTTGTCATGTTTAGGCAACTAAGTTTTCTACTCCACCACAGGTGTTACTTAGTAGGTTAATGCCAAGCACATGCTATTTGTGATAACATCTAGAATTACTTTAGTGAAATTAGCTGTATGCTTTAGGGTCTCACAACTAGAACTGGCATGAACTTCACAAACCATCCAGTTCAACCCCCACATTTTACAGATGAGGAAACTGAGGCCCCGTGAAGTTAAGTCACTTGCCCAAAGTCATACATGTAGTGAGCATTAGAAGAAGGATTTGAAACTCAGGTGCTCAGACTCCAAAGTGTTCACTCACTGATTTACCAAATCATCGCCGCCTTGACTCCATCCACCACTTGCAGTTGGAAGAATGACCAGGATGCTCTCTCAACTGAATAGCATAAGAGAGACTCTTTTCCATCTCTCCTGTTTTCAGGGGCTCCTGAAACCAACAATTTTCCTTTCAGTTGTAGAATCCACCACTTGACAATAGATAATAAATATATTGAAAATCCAGTAACCTTAACAGTGGTGTTTACACCAAGGAGCCTTGCTGTCTGGGCTAAGTCCCAAATGACAAAACGGGTAGCGTTTCAGAGTTGTCCTTATTAGATACAATGGCTATCTGAATCTAGGCTTGTATGGAGAGAGAATAGGTTTCTCTGGAAAGGGTATGCCTATGGAGAGGCCCAGACTTCATTTCTGCAACTGTAAGGAGGGATAAAGTATGCTGCTTTCTAGGTTGTCATCCTTTGCTATTTATCCAGATGGTGTAGAACCGGTATGAAATCGTGGAAGAGGCTCTGGATGAAGAGTCAAGAGACCTGAGTGAGAGCCCCAGCTTGCCTACTCAGAGACCTGAGTTCAGCTCTAGCCTAGTTGTGTGACCTTGGGCAAGTCACTTAATCTCTGTTTGCCTTAATCTGTGGGAGAAGGACATGGGAAATCACTCCAGTATCCTTGCCAAGAAAACCTCATGGACAGTAGTAGCATGATCCATGGGATCATGAAGAGTCAGACGTGACTGACTAACTGAACAGCAACAACAGTTGCCCACTAAATTGTTGCATCACCCAAGGCAAATGACTTCCTTTCTCTGAACTTTGGCCTCCTTTGTGATTTTTAATATTCCTTCCACCTTTAAAATTCTGTGATTCTAGTTCTTAAAGTGATGTCTTGAGCCCTTGGGAAATTCAGAATAGTGACAAAAGCAGGACCACATCCCCAGGGATACAGCATTGTCTAGTTTAGTTCAAAAGGCATGGTAGCAGCTTAAATAACTGTCTTGGAAACATACTGCCTCCTCCTCGGCATTGATGAGTGCCTCCTATTTGGCCTACCAGGAAAGGGGACCAAATGAAGGGTCAGGGGTGGGGGGGAGAGACAGAGACATAGATACGGAGACAGACAGAGACACAGAGACACACACTGAAAGGGCTCAGAATACAGATCTTCAAGCCCTTCCCACTACTTCTGTTCCAATCAGATCCCATAGAATTAATTTTCTTCTTGTTATTCCTTGTGGCCTCATCCTCACCATCCTTTCTAGGACCAGAGAGAATGACATAACTTCTTCATTCTGAAAGACTCACAATCTAGAGGTTATTCATGTTGTTGCCCCTTTATATGAGATACTCAAGGAGATCTGGCCCCTCTAACAACAGAAAGCTGCTCCCTTAGTTAAGACACATGACTTATCACATCAATAAGCCACTTTCCCAAAGTTTATTTTTCTGATTGCAGTTGGTTTGGGAAAGGGAGAGCTATTATAACTCCATTGATAGGATCATTTGACCTACTAAGGATTGTCACATTGTCATAGCCATTAAGATCCTAGGGTTATCTCCATGCTACAATGAAAGATCAGAACAGGAACACAATAGAAGATCTAAGATAATTTTCATTTAATTATAGATTCACTAAATCATCACCTAGTTCATATTAGTGTACTAATAGTATATTACACCAATAGTATAATTATATATTAGTAAAATACATAATACAACAATATAATATAATAGCATAATAGCCTACTACACCAAGCTGTTTTCTTATCATGTTTCAAATTGTGCAAGGCATTATATTTATTGGACAGTTAGGTGGCACAGTGGGTAGAGCATTGGGCTTGGAATCAGGAAGATTCATCTTCATGAGTTCAAATCTGGCCTCAGACATACTTCTGGGCTGTGTCACCCTGGGCAAGTCACTTACCCCTGTTTGCCTCAGTTCCTCATATGTAAAATGAGCGGGAGAAGGAAATGGCAAATCACTCCATTATCTTTGCTGAGAAAACCCCAAATAGGGTCACAAAGAGTTGACCACGACTGAAACAACTCAACAACAACAACAATTATATTCATTTGTTCACTGAATCACTCATTTGTCCAACAAATATTTGTTGAAAATCTATATCTAAAATATTGCTAGGCAATATGGAGGAAAAAGTATTGCCCTCCGGGAACTTATATATTAACTAGGAGAGATAGCATATAGATAAGCTGGTTTGTTAATTAGGTCATTATTACCTTCTCTCCTCCAAATAGACTATGGAACAAATAAGTTTTTATGAGGAGGAAAAGATAGGGAAAGGCCCAGAGCCTGGGTGCTCCTTGGCCTTAGTGGTGTTAGGTATCATAGGTAATATGGCAATTGTGGTTCGAATTTCAGTTTTGTAAAATACTGATTATTTTGACGAGATTGTAATTAGTAACTGATAAACCACTACCTTCTAGACTGGAGGCAGATTGGTACAGTGGAAAGGGCAATGATTCAGAGTCAGAGGATTTGGGTATAAATTGACCTCTGATATTTACTAGCTGTGTGACAATGGACAAGTCACTAAATCATGTCATTTCATTTGGGTGCCAGGGCTTTTGGACTATTTTTTAACCCCATAATATTCTAAGGACACATGTTCACACTCATTAATCAAGTCAGGCAACCCCTATTGAGCATAAAGCCTTAGACTGTATTATTTTTCAAAGGGTTTTGTGTGTGGGGGGGTGTGTTTATGAAGTTAATTCATGTGCAAATAATGATGGCACTATCGTCATGGTGTTGATTCCCACATGTGTCAGTTAGCTTTCCCTTCACCATATTGATAGCTTTCCTTTTTCCTAGGGTCCATAGTTATTGTTCAGTTATTTTCAGTTGTGTCTGACTTTCCATGACCCCATTTTGAGGTTTTCTTGGCAAAGATACTAGAATAGTTTTCCATTTCCTTCTCCGGCTCATTTTACAGATGAGGAAACTTAGGCAAACAGGGTTAAGTGACTCACCTAGGCTCACACAGCTAGTAAGTGTCTGAGGCCAGATTTGACTCTAAGCAGTGCTCTATCCACTATGCCACCTAGTTGCCCATAAACTCTAGCCTTAATTCTGGCCACCTGTCTTCATAATGTAGGCTATCGGTCTCAATGGGAAGTAGATGAAAAGAATATAAATGGATCAGTGCAAATCCATCCCTACTACAAGAACAGGGTTTTTAAGATTCAGTATATAATTATACATATATATTTTTTATTCTATGGTTGTCATGTACTAAATATGCATACTCATCTCTACATATAAGTCTCTAAGATTATTTGTCTTTTATTTCTAAAGGCAACAATGTCAGTTCAGAAAATCAGTCCAATACTTTCAAATAGTATGGATCTTGGCCCCGGTCTTTCAGATTCAGAGAGAATTTTGAGCAAATATCTGGAACTAGACAGTCAAGCTAAGGTAAGCGACATTTTAATAAGCTTTGCTATGTACAAATGGTAAAGAATATCTATAAACCTTAATTTCAGTTCATAGTCTTTGCATATATAAATTAGGATCACTGCAACTAATGATCTTAAAATGTATGTGTGTCTAAAAATGTTGGTATCTCTAAATTTAAGAAAAAGTGCTTGAGCTTATTATGGGATTCAGAATTTTCATCCTTTGCTCAAGTACTTTGTGACTCCTCCTTTCCTTTCCTTAATGGGCAGGTGTTAAAGATATTTTGATAATAATACCCTTTTGAGTTTGGGGGTGGTATCCGGGAGGGCCATCCTTCAGCCTTATTTGTAATTATCTATTGTAGAGCGTTACAAAGAAAATTACTACTCCAGTAAGAATTCAAGAGGCAGCTAGTAGAAGAGCTCTGATGACCTACAAAAGAAATCTTTTTTTTTTTTGGAAGACCTGGTATTCATGTTCCTTCCCTATAGTAGTCATTGCCTACCTTTGAAGCTGAAATTGTTCCCTTAGGGCTTCAACCTCTTTCACAAAGAAACAATGGGTATGCTAATTCATGACTAGTCCCCTTTGCATACCTGCCTCTTTTCAGCACAGACTTCCTCCCCTTTTCTCCTCAACCAACACACTGATGAAAGCGTTGGGCTCTACACACACACACACACACACACACACACACGTGTGTGTACATATATATGTTTATGTGACATGTAATATACACACATATGCACAACCTTTAGAGTGTGAATTTTTAACATTTTTTTGTGTCATGGATACCTTTAGCATTCTAGTAAAGCCTATGGACCCTATGCCGGAATACTGATTTAAAATGAATAAATTAAAATACATAAAATTACAAAGGAAGAGAATTGAATGGAAATAGAAATGAATACACCTTTTTCTCAGCAGTTCATGGTACCTTTGCAAAGATTGACCATATATTAGGATATAAAAAATTTATAGTTAAAAGCAGAAAAGCAGAAATATTAAAAGTAGCTTTTTCAGATCACAACACAACAAAAATTATATTTAATAAGAGAGCATGGAAATTTAGATTAAAATCTACTTGGAGATTAAACAACTTAATCTTAAAGAATGAGTGGTTTTTAAAGAATAAATCATAGAAACAATCAATAATATCATTAAAGAGAATAATAATGAGACAATATATCAAAACCTATGGAATACAATAAAAGCAGTGATCAGAGGAAAATTTATATCTCTAAATGCTTATATCAGTAAAATAGAGAAAGAGCAGACCAATAGATTGGGTATACAATTAAAAATCTAAAAAAAGAACGAACTAAAAATCCCCAATTAAACACTAAATCTTAAATCCTAAAAATTAAAGGTAAGATTAATGATATTAAGTATAACAAAACCATTGAATTAATAAATAAAACTAGGAGTTGCTTTTATGAAAAAAACAATATAGCAGATAAACTTGGTTAATTTGATTTAAAAAAGGGAAAACACAAATCACTGGTATTAAAAATGAAAAGGATAAAAAAAATGATTATATCAATAGATACCAAAAAAAAGCTTTTGATAAAGTATAACACTCATTTCTATTAATACCACTCGAAAGCATAGGCGTAAGTGGGTTTTTCCTTAAATTGATAAAAAGCATTTATCTGAAAGCATCAGCAAGCATTATTTGTAATGAGGATAAACTAGAAGCCTTCCCAATAACATTGGGGGTGAAACAAGGATACCCATTGTCACCAATATTATTCAATATTGTATTGGAAATCCTAGCACTAGCAATAAGAGAAGAAAAAGAAAAAGAAGGAAGCAGGATAGGGAATGAGATACTAAAGCTATCTCTTTTTGTAGACCAAGACTTCTTAAACTTTTTCCACTCACAACTCCTTCAGCACTTCTTAAACTGTGGGTTATGACGCTAAATGATGATATACTTGGAAAATCTCAAAGACTCAACTAAAATGTTGGTTGAAACAATTAATAATTTTAGCAAAGTAGCAGGATATAAAGTAAATCCACTTAAATCATCAGCATTCCTATATATTACAAACCAAACCCTGCAAGAAGAGATAGTAAGAGATACCCCATTTGAAATAACTCTAGACAGTATAAAATACCTGGGAGTAAAACCTGCCCAAACAAACCTAGGAACTATATAAACAAAATTATTTTTTTAAAAAAAACTTTTATACAAATAAAATAAGATTTAAATAATTGGCAAAATATTAATTGTTAATGGGTAGGCAGGGCCAATGTAATAAAAACCAGAATTTTACCTAAACTAATTTATATATTCAATGCCATCCCTATTAAATTACCAGAAAGTTTTTTTTTTACTGAATTTGTAAAAACAAAAAGTCAAGAATATCAAAGGAACTAATGGAAAAAAATGTAAAGGCAGGAGGTTTAATAGTACCAGAGCTTAAACTATGTTATAAAACAGTGATTATCAAAACTATCTGATACTGGCTAAGAAATAGAAATGTAGATCAATGGAACAGAGTAGATAGACACACAATTTGCAGCAGCAAATAAATATAGTAACCTTGTATTTGACAGGTATTAAGACTTAAGATTTGGGGATAAAAAGTCATTATTTGGCAAAAAATTGTTGGGAAATCCGGAAAGCAGTAATACAGAAATTTGGCATAGAGTAATATCTTACACCATTTAGCAAGATAAGGTCAAAATAGTTATATGACTTAGTATAAAGAGAGATATTGCAAGACAATTTGAAGAATATCGAATATATTTCTTATCAGACTTATGGACAGGTAAACAACTTATTAATAAACAAAAGATAAAAACCAGAGTGAGGTATAAAATGGATAATTTAAATTATGTTAAATTAAAAAGATTTTGCACAAATGAAACAAATGTAACCAAGATCAGGAGGAAAGCAGAAAATTGGAGGGAAAATTTTATAGGTATATCTTGATATATCTCAAATATATCAAGAACTTTATAAAATCTATAAGAATGAGAGTCATTCCCCAATTGATACATGGTCAAAGGATTTGACTAGACAGTTTTTGGAGGAAGAAATCAAAACAATTTACAATCATATAAAATACTCTAAATCATTATTGATGAGAGAAATGCAAATTAAAACAACCTTGAGATATCATTTTACATCTATCAGATTGGTTAAAATGATTGAAGGGGAAAGCAACAAATATTGGAGTGGATATTGAAAAAATGGGACACTAAATTCATTGTTGGTGGAGTTATGAACTGATCCAACCATTTTGGAGAGCAATCTGAAATTATGCCTAAAGAGTTATTAAACCTCCTGTACCCTTTGACTCAACAATACCACTACTAGATCTATTTCCAAAGACAATTAGGGAAGAAAGAAAAAGAACCTATATATATGTTCTAAAATATTATAGCAGCTCTCTTTGTGGTGGCAAAGAACTAGAAATTGTGGGAATGGCTAAACAAGTTGTGGTATATTATTGTGATAGAATATTACTGTACTATAAGAAATTATGAACTTGACGATCTTAGAAAAATATGGATAGATTTGCATGAAATAATGAAGAGCAAAATGAGCAGAACCAAGAGAACATTGTATATAGTAGCACAATATTGTTTTAAGAGCAACTTTGAGCAAATAAGTCATTTTGACTATTATAAATGCCCAAATTAACTGCAAAGGACATTTGAAGGAAGATGCTCTCTGCATTCAGAGAAAGAACTGATAAATAGAAGTATATATCTATATCTATATTTATCGATCTATCTATATAATGATTTTACACATATATGCATATTTGTGTCTAATGGTAGCCATCTCTAGGGTAGGCAAGGTAGAGGAAAGTAAAAAGGGGAAAAAAAGAAATTTACATGATAACTTTGTTATATATTTAAAAGGAGTAGCAAGTTGTATACAATGGATTTGCAGTTTCATGCACAATCATCTTCTTTATTATACTATATTATGGAAATGTTTGTTTTATTATATAAATTAAAAATAAAATAAAATTTTAAATAAAAATTACAAAGGAAACTATATTAAAATACAATTATCAAAATATTTTTGAAAGTTAATGAATCACAAGTTAGAAAACCCTATGCAGTATTTTGGATTATATTATAAGTATGTTAATATATCCCTTCTGTTAAATTCAATAAACATTTATTAAATGCCTGAATGTAGAGCACCATGACTTTGTGCATGACAAATGTCAGAGTTAGGAAGACCTATGTTAAAATCTCAGTTTTGATACAAACTGGTTTCAAGACCCTGAGCAAGTCCCTTAAACACAAGGAAACTCATTTAAATGCCCAAAGATACTCTCACTAAGACTTGAAGTTGGAGAACACTTTTTCAATGGTTGAGGGAATTTTCTCACTGAGAGCTTTCTACATCAATACAATTATAAGTCTTAGTCAGTAGCTTTCCAAGTGTGGGTGCCATGAGGTCAAAATCATCAATTTCTAATATGTTAAATATTGATAGACATAACCCATATGAACAGAAGGTCTTTGAAGGGACTTCAATTATTTTTAAGAACATAAAGAAGTTCTGACATTAAAAAATTGAGAATTGCTGGTCTAGACCAAAAGAAAGGAAGAAAAAAAAACATAAAGCACTTTCCTGGGTCCTATAGATACAAAGAAGAAAAGCAAAATATTTATTGCCCTCAAGGAGCTTAGAGTGTAGACAAAAAATGAAATATATACCTGAATAACAATTGTAATACACATATAAAATAGATCAGATTGCACAGTAGTTTAAACTCTGGCCAATAGTGACTTAGGGTGGTCCAAACTATAGGAATATATTTAGAGTGGCTGAGATCCCCAGGAAGACTACAATATCTACTACTGTAGAGAGTGGGATGAGAGTCTTGGAAGTACCACCAATAGCCTAGTAGGGGAGGAACATTTAAAATCCAAGACAGCTATGGCTGGATGTTGACTCCTTTACTATCTTATTTCTAAGAAGGGTAATGGAGTGGATGTACATCTATATTTTACACTTCAGATATTAGTAGTTTGGAAGTATGATGCTCTTTTAGAGATATCAGAATAAAAGCCTCCTTCTCTCCTCATCTAAAGGGGACAGTACTATAACAAAAATATTATACTATATCTATAACAATAGCTACTCTCAGCCAGATTAGGTTCCTCTCATCAAACACTGGTTACACACATACACACATGCACATACACACCCACAAACACACACTATTGCAGGTAGCAATCAGTCCTATTTATCAGAGCAAACCGTAAAACAGAAATCAGAAGGTATAGAGATTAGAGCAGAGAGTTGAATACAAAAGAATAAATCAGCTCTACTACTCCAGAACAAGATCAAATCAATAAAAGGGAGAACAGTCTCACTGGGAAGTCTACTCTTAGCAGTCTCTGGGGGTGTAGGCATTGGGAATCAAAGGATACATTTGTGGCCTTCTTGCTCAAATCTAATCTGCAGTCTCTTCACACTCACATCATCATAGGTTCAAATGTCTCAGCTAATCAGAAGTCATGTCTCCCCATGCTTAAGCAGAATGCAATATCACAGGGCTGTCCTTTAGGGAACTGAAGGATTCTTATATATATTCTAATTACTTGTAAGAATAATTTTTAATATTCATTTTTAAAATTTTGAGACCCAAATTTTCTCCCTTCCTTCCTTCCCTTTCCCCTCTAGAAGACAAGCAGTTTGATATAGACTATATATGTGCAGTCATACAAAACATGTTTCCATACTAGCCATGTTGCAAAAGAAAACATAGACAAGAAAAAAGAAAAAGAAAAGAGAGTTTAAAAAAGTATGCTTTTATCTGTATTCGGATTCCATCAATTCTTTCTCTGAAGGTGGATAGCATTTTTCATCATAAGTTATTCAGAATTGTCTTAGATCATTGTGTTGCTGAGAATAGCTGAGTCATCCACAGTTGATCACTGTACAACATTGCTGTTGCTGTGTAAACTCTTGTCCTGGTTCTTCTTACTTCACTTTGCATCAGTTCATGTAAGTCTTGCTAGGTTTTTCTGAAACTATCTTGCTTGTCATTTTTTATATCACAATAGTATTCTATCACAATCATATACTACAGCTTGTTCAGCCATTCCCCAGTTGATGGACATCCCCTCAATTTCTAATTCTTTGCCACCATAAAAAAAGCTGCTTTAATATTTTTGTACATATAGTATAGATCTTTTTCCTTTTCCTTTTTTTTAAGGGAGGGAGATCTCTTTGGGATACAGATGTAGTAGTAGTATTGCTAGGTCAAAGGATATATACACAGATTTATAGCCCTTTGGGCATAGTTCCAAATTGTTCTCTAGAATGTTTGGATCAATTCACAACTCCACCAACCGTGCATTAGTGTCCCAATTTTTCCATATTTCCTCTAACATTTATCACTTTTTTGTCATATTAGTCAATCTTATTGATGTGAGGTGGTATCTCAGAGTTGTTTTAATTTGTGTTTCTCTAATCAATAGTAAGAGATATTTTTTCATGTAACTATAGTTTTGATTTCCAACTGAAGGGTTCAAGGGGGGATGGGATTGGTATGTGGATTATGCTGTGTTACGATTTAGAACACTGTTAAGTACATGGGAGAATTCCTAGTGATTTAAAGCATTGTCACCCTTATTGAGTTTTTGTAAAGCAGCTTGAAAGATGTAAGATTTTTCTGTGAAATATGATTTTGTTTTAGGTGTGTGCTTTTAGAGGCTTGTGCCTTTTCACCATATTTTTAGGAGGGTTAGAGAGGAGGGAAAGATGGGAAGGAGTAGTTTTGTCCCCGTTTCTTACAAAGTGCCATTATGAAGTGACTCATAATGAAAATTACCTTTGTTCCAGTGAGTACTAAGGAAGAATATTAAATAATCAAAGTTATTCCTTTTAGCAAATGAGAGTGAAGCTTCTGACTATTAAGAAAAGCAGGTTATTTCTTATGGTTTTTTTTCCCCTTCCTTAGAATTCATTTTTGACTACTATACTCTTTCCAGAGGAAGCATGAGATTCCTGGTAGCAACAGTATCTATTTATCAAACCTGTCATTCGGTATATTTCACATGCCAGACATACATTTCACTTACTGATGAGTGTCAGAAGTAAATATAGCTCACTCTTGTCAGCAAGTCTGTGAAATTGACTTAATGTTTTAAGCTATATTAGACCTATGGATTGATATGTACCATTTTCATCAAAGTTGTTTAAAATCCTTCTGCCTCCACCTAACTCCAGTTTCAGATAATAATCCCAGAAGCAGGGGAGACTCTCCAAAATGATAGAACAAATCTTGGGTGAAAATTAGAAAAAACAAAACAATTGTTTAAAACAATCATAATAATACTGTTTTATATCCCATAGGCTGGTAGGCTTTGACCCTGGGAGGGCCCAGAAATAATCTTGCATCTTACACCATAAACAACTTTTCTTTTATCCATGATATAAATAAAAGAGAGGGGGATGAATAGGAAGCACAGATAAAGTATAGCTATTTTTAAAGTTTTTTTTTTAGTTGTAACTTTTACAGAGAAGATTCTAGGTACAAAATCAGTATCTAAATTTGTAACATCTGTGCAGGCATACTCAGAAGCCATTGAAATTTGTGTTTTCCTGAAACCTATTGTCAGCCTAGGCCTACATCCTTGTACTTATACCTTCACAGGAGACATCACATGAATTAGAAGCAGCAGTGAAAATCATGGAAGAAGAAGAAGACACATTTGAGCCTGCTGAAGAGGCATCCCTGTTTACTAAAGCTGCACTAATAAAGGAAGAGCTGGATATGCTTGTCAGAAACATCACCTCCAAGGTGCAAGTCCTCCAAACTCACGTGGCATTTCTAAAGTCATCAGAGAAGGTAAAGTCCTTCTCAGTAGTTGCTCACAATCTCAATTTCTACCTCATATGCTTTTCCTCTGTGCATAGTTATAGCTGTGTATAACCTAATGAAAATCCTTCTTCCTGGAGCAGGTACACTGTTATATAAGCAGGGAATAATTTTATTTTGGGGGCTTTTAAGGTATGTGTCCACCAATCAATAAAAGAAACTAGGGGGTAAGTTATTTGTATTTTTAAATAGATAATATATCTAATCTATATAAATTCTGATTACATATTTGTATATTTCAATGAACTGTAATTTTGTCAGTGTGAGTGCTCTAGGTCCTGATACCAATAACAATTGCTCAGTGCCTTAGCAGACAGATATACTTTAGAGCTAAAATAACTCAACAAAATAAAGTATTGGGACCATTTATAATAACATTCTACAAATAATTATTTTAAGTAAAGCATGGTATGGTAGAAAGAAAGGACACAAAATCAGCTGAGGCATGCCTTCCTCTGACATTTACCACTATAGGTGATCATTTAATCTCAGTCTCTCTTTCTTCATCTGCAAAAAGGAATTAATACTTATCTGTTATACCTAAAGTTCAGAGAGAGGTTCAGTGACTTGCCCAAAGTCATACAGCCAGTAAGTTGGAGGAGTCAAAGCCAGGTTTTCTTGATTCTAAGCTCAGCATTCTATGCGTTGTCTGATACCATGGCACATAATGCCTATGCCACACATTTAAGGAATAGCATATGATGCTTTGTATTTTTCCTTTTTCATATATATATTTATGACCTAACTTCACATCCGGAATGCAGATTCCTTAAAGGATGGATTTTGTCTTCTGCATCCTTGTATCCTTGTGTGCCTAACAGTGTTCCATACCTAACAAGTGCTCAAGATGATTGTTGTTGATGCTAAAGCTAATTCTTACACTGAAACTACAACATCATCTTCTATAGAGATTTGATAGAATTTTATATAACTATGTAAAATTTGATGTAAAATAGATTCCAATTAATAGAGGTTTTGTTACTGAAATATCAAAAACTCACTAAAAGGTATGAAGACAGAAGAGTAATCTCATGACTTAGACCCCCCAAAATAATCTGTAGGACTTTGCAGGATTCTTAAAACCTTTAGAATATGCTCTTTCTTTCTTTTTTTTTTGATAGGCAATGGAGTTAAGTGACTTGCCCAGGGTCCCACAGCTATTAAGTGTTATGTGTCTGAGGCCAGATTTGAACTTAGGGCCTCCTGAATTCAGGGCCAATGCTCTATCCACTGTGCCACCTAGCTGCCCCTAGAATATGTTCTTTCACATCAGAGCTAGTGATCATTACAATCATGGGTATGTCAGACCTTGAGTTTCAAATAAGAAAATAATTGTAAAGTGCTTAGCACAATATCTAGCACACAGTAGGCATTAACAAGTGCTTGTTCATTTCCCTTCCCTTCCTAATTTCACTCATATCTAAATAATGAATAGAGAAACAGGTCATATACCTTTCATATGTGGGTAGGAGATAACTTCTTAACCAAACAAGGGAAAATGTCAATTACAAAAGATAAAATAGATAATTTTAATCATATGATATTCAAAAGCTTTGCACAAACAAAATTAAGTCATTTAGGGGAGCAGATGGCTAGGAAAATCTTTTTATCAAAGGGCTTGGTATATAAGACATGTAGACAACTAACAAATATATAAGGCAAAAAGCCATTACCCAATAGATAAGTAGTCAAAGGATGTGAACAAGAAGTCCTGAAAAGAATGATTGCTAACCATTAACAACTATATGAAAGAAAACTCCATACTGTTTGTAAACGAGAAATACAAATCAAAATAATCACGAGGTTTCACCTCTCACCAAGTGGATAGGCAAATGTGACAAAAGATGGAAACAGTCAATGTTGAAAGGGTATTGTATAGAGAGATGGGAACACTATGCATTATTGGTGGAATTGTTGCAACTATTCTGAAGAACAACTGGGAATAAGGAAATAAAGTGACTAAAATGTCCACATGTTTTGTCTCAGAGATTCCACTGCCAGGCACATACTTCAGGGAGATCATTGACAGAAAGCTTGCATATACACTAAAATGTTTTAGAAGTGGGTTGTGGTGGCAAAGAACTGGAAACAAAGTGGATACCCATTGAACAGGAAATCACTAAACAAATTGTAGTACATGAATCTAACAGAATATGATTATGCTATAAGAAATGATGAATATAATGAATACAGAGAAGCATAAAAGGATACAGGGAAATCTGGGCAATGTAAAAACAACTTAAATCAATAACGGTTTTTTTTTAAATACATGGGTCCAGAAGGACCCCTATATCTGGTGCTCATGAATCTCCTGGAATGTTTTTCCCCTTAGAATCACCCCAGTGGTTCTGATGGATCTACTGCAGCTTGTCCCATTAGCTGTAATGTTTCACCTAAAATTAATAGGCATCATTGCATTAAAGCCTTTTGGTTGTAGTTTCAGCACAAAATTCAGTGTTATTGTGTGTTTCTTATGGCACAGTTGGTGTCAGCCTCTGGCAAAATAAAATGATCTCCAAGAATTCAGCACCATTTACATGGAATATTGGTTAATATTCAAAGCAATACAGAAAATTAAGATTTATTTTCACTATTTTTTATTGCCTTAACATTTATTAAAAGCCAGCCATGGGATTCCAAAGTAATGTTCTTTTACTTAACATTCATTTTTTTCTCTCTAGCTCTGACTTTCCTACTTGTGTATTTCTGCGTCTAAATTATATCACACTCCTTTGTGATATTAAGATGATCTGTGACAGGAATTGACCAAATTGCTGACAGTTTAAAAAAAATCACTAAAAAAATCTTTTTTTGGCTGTGCTCAGAAGGTCTTACTGGGTAATAAACTTGTCACCTCCATCTGGACCCCACAAGCAGCCCTGTTTGCCAGCCGCCTAAATATGTTCCTGAGACACTGTAGTTATTTGATACATTCAATAATGATACAAATGTTGTAGAGAAATATGCAATCTTGAAATGTATCATGTTGATTTGTTTTTCTTATATAGACATGTTTGAGTTTGAAGGATTTTTTTTTTCTTTTTAAAAGAAGTTTCAGTGCCTTGATTAAAAAAAAATCCTTCTTTTTCAGGTAGAAGAGCTGACTAGGAGCCTAAAGGAGTTTTTCAAAACTGAATTGACTCAACAGGATAAAGGAGAAACTCAATTCCTATCTTGCTTGGAGTCTCCCAATAGCCAGTGGCAATTGTTTTTAAAGGAGAGTTTTTCAACTCAAGACCTGGGGCTTGAATTTCTTAATTTAATAAACATGGTGAGAATGCATTATGTGAGTCACACCTTCTGCAAGGATTACTCATCAGAATTATAAACATAAAGGAAAGTCATTCCTTGTTAAATCAGTGTTGCATGTGAGAAGATGCTCAGATGCTTTTCCACCCTAGCCCTCTGAAGCAGCCCTGGAGGCCAGCTTTCATACAGGCTCTTTGTTACTTTACATTCTGTGCTTTGGAGATCTTAGCCAGAAAGGCTTTATGTAAACCCAAAATGTCATCATCATCACTATTATTAGATATTTAGCTAGATAAAGCATTTATTAAGCACTTCCTGTGTATTAAGCATTATGCCAAGTCCTGGGAATACAAGCACAAGAAAATAAGGCATCCCGGGGCGGAACACAACACATAAAGCAGTACTGAAAAGGGGAGAAGGGAATCTGCAGATGGCACGGTAGGGAGATGAGTGAGAAGCATTATGGAGTCCTAGACCCTACAGAAGCTCACCTATCAGGATAGGGATGCAGGAGCACATCCAGGGTTCTGGTGGAGAGGAGTTAGAGATAGTGTTTGAGGAGAGAAAACACAGTAGGAAGACAATCAGGATATCTTTCTTTTAAAGCATGAATAAGAATAAATATTATTCTTTTGGAGTTATGCCCAAATTCCATCTACAAGCTATAATTGAAATTATAATCTAAGGAGCTTCCTGTAGTACTTTCTATAATTAACTACCTAGGATAAAGCCTAAGAGTAAGTTACATTATACCAAATTCTATAATGTGGTAAGTTATCTTGTAACCATTTCTGATGTATTCATTTATCTAAATAGAAAATGATATGTATGAAATATTAGAGACTTAAAGAATCTTGGAGTTGGAAATAATTTTAAAGGTCATTTAGTCTCACCTTCCACCAGATAAAAGAATTCTTTCTATAGCATTCCTGACAGGTGATAACCTAAATCCTGCTTGAATATTTCCAGAGACTGGAAGTTCACTATCACAAAAGGTTGCCTATTTATTCCGTATTTAAAAATTTAATGTGTGCCACACACTCTGTTAGGCAGTTGAAAAGACCCATTGTTGGAAAAGTCTAGGTGTTTACATTTTTTTTGTCATGTTCAACAAAAACCTGCTTTTCTGTAACTTCCAGTCATGAGTTGAGTTTCTGCTCTCTTGGGTTATACAGAATAAGTCTACTTTCGGTATGGTCTTTCACTGAAAAAAAATTGAAATAAAAAAGCATAGTCTTTTAAATATTTGAAGACTATGATTCTGTTTTCCCTTATTCAATAAACATTTATTAAGACCCTACTATGTGCCAGGCACTATGCTAATCACTGGGGTTACAGAAAAAGAAAAACATCCTTGTTCTTAAGGCATTCATGATATAGAAGGAGAGACAACATGCAAATGACTGTGTATAACTAGTTTATAGAGGATAAATTGAAAATAATCAATGGAGGGAAAGCACTAGAATTAAAGGGGATCAGGAAAGGCTTCCTGTAGAAGATGGGATTTTGGCAGGGACTTGAAGGAGGTCAGGGAAGCCAAGAGGCTGAGAAGTCCTCCACTGCCTCTGCCAGCACTGCTGCCACTACCTCCTTCTCCTCCTCTTGATTCCTGTTTCTCACTGCTTTCACCCCATTGGCTACCCCCTGCATTGTACTGCTGCTGGGACACTTTTTTGGGTAGGCTACCTTAATCTTGACTTTATTCTCACTGATGATATGGAATATCTTTTTTAAAATCTTAACAGACTTTTTTTCTTTAAAAGCAATGAATACAGGTCTTCTTTTGCTTGTCTTTGGATCCATTGGAAGTTCAATAGATTCAGTTTCTCCAAAGTCTCGAGTATTCCCAGATTTTCCTCTTAGTATTTTCTTTATCAAGTCAAACAGACATTCAATAATCATTTATTTAAAGGCTCCTACTTGAAGAAAGGCCTTCTGCTAGTTGCTGAGGATACTCAAATTGATCTGTGATATCTTCATCCATCATAAGCATCAGCATCAGCATTTATGTAGCATCTACTAAATATGTGTAAGCACACACACACACACATATACACTCTATATAGTATCTACTACACTTACATCTACTATTTGCATTTATCATAATTATCTTATTTGATCCTCCCAACAAGCCTGTGAGTATTCCTTCCCTTGATGGAAATCACAACTCATCCATGCCTGCCTGTATCATGCACTCTTGTTCATTTTCTTCCCTAAATTTCAGCAGAGAGACTTTATCTTGATTTTGTGAGGATACCAGCGGAGCACAAGGTCTATCCATTGATTATCTCTTCCTCTAGCCACATGACTCTCTCATTTTATTTTTTACTCTTACATTTCCTTGACCTTTGATTTTTTGTTACAACTTTATCATCAGTTACTTGTCACCTCTGTAATGCCTTGCGTATAATTGTAGAAACATACTTAAGTCTACTTTGTGCTACCCCCGTTCCTCCTTGGGTGATAACTCATTTTCAGTTTTGTAGAGGCTGTGGTATTCTGTGACTCATAACCATAATAACAGCACTACTAGAATATTGATATTAGGAAGATGGGCCTCTGTTTCAGGGAGAAATTTCAGAATATTAAGGGAACTTGGCAATTTCCCAGAGGCAATTCATACTGTTCTTCTTCTACTCAATTCTGGGCTGAACTTATTGACCAATTACATTATCTATCCAAGCACATACAGAGAAGTGCATTGAGAAATGAACTGTATCAGCTATCCAGATAGTCTGGAATTATGTGTGTGTGTGTATAGACTGAAATATATATTATAAATTATATAGAAATACATAAATCATATATATATTATATGTATGTGTATTCAAGATTTGAAATAATCTTGACAGCCTATAATTCTGGGACAAAAACAATAAGAAGTTCAATATGAATATAGACCCACATATACACACACACACACACAAACACACACACATACACACACACATACACACACACATATACATATACACACACATACACATGCACATATATTCTTAAGATAACTTTGTTTTTCAGTTTGGATAATTAGGCCCTAACCAAAAGAAGGGAAATACAGTCCTTACATGTAAGGAATTGTTGGAGAATACATTGTGTAAAGAGATAAGTATTTATATGATTACTGAGAGTACAAACAACTAGAGAAGACACTGACATTCCTTGTTTCTTCAACAATTCCTTACATGAGACAATTTTCAGAGCCGTTTCCTCTTGATCAATGTCTTCCAGATGCTCTCTGATTCATCAATTTCCCTCATAAAATAAAGCATATGGAATTAAACACAACATTCCATATGTATTCTCACCAGCATAGAGTGGGTCAATCATTTCTCCCTATCTAAACTAGGAATTCTTAACCTGGGGTCCATGGACCCCCAAAGGATCAGTGAACTTAGATGGGAAAAATGTTATTTTCACTAAACTCTGGCAAAAATTTAGCATTTCTTTAAATTATTTAAAAATATCATTCTGAGAAGGGGTTCACAGGCTTCATCGTATTGCCAAATGGTTCCATGACAGAAAAAGCATTTAAGCACTTTTGACTCTAAATTTATTTTCCCAAGATTTTGTTAGCTTTTTAATTCTTCTTTTAAAGCAGCTATAACACAGCATTAGCTTATATTAATTTATAGTCAGCTAAGACTCTTAAATGTTTTTCACAAGAATTACTGTCAAGATATGTCTCCTCTTCCTATATTTATGAAACTGAGATTTTTAATCTAAATGAAGAACTTTGAATTTATTCATATTAAATTTTTTTCTTATTGTTTTTGGCCCAGAATTCTAAACTGTCAAAATTATTTCACATCTTGATTCTGTTATTTTATCTTCTGATTAGTATTCTCTGATAATAATTCCTTCTATGTGTTCATTCAAATCACTGAAGATAATGCTAAAAACAAAAACTTGTGGCACTTTACGGAGGACTTTTCTCTACATTGACCTCGGTTCATTAATTTACACATTTGGGGGTGTAGCTGATTGGCTACTTATAAATCTACAATATCTCTCTCTCGCTCCAACAATCACCAATCTACTACAGGCAGTTACCATTTCTTCCCTAGACTATTCTAATGATCTTCTTCTAAATGATCCAATATGTCCAATCTCATCCTTTTCTAATTTATATATTCTAAAAAATGCCATATTATCTTCCTATCCTAAGCCTCAGTTTTGTCATCTCTAAACTGAGGTTGGCCTCATTGACCATGAATACCCCTTCTAGCTCTAAATGGATGACCACATGACCATCTATTGCCTTTTAGTTATATATTTTATATATTTTATATGTGTATTTATTTATATATTATATATTTTTATATATTACATATTCATATATTTTATAATATATTTATATATTTTAGTTAAAATGCAAACACCTTAGCCTTGTGTTTAAGGCCCTTCCCAGTCTATCACTAGCCTAACCTAATTCCTTTCACATACCTTGTGTTGTGCAATCGACTTCAGAAGCCACTTAATCCAGTCAGTAGTCACTTCCACAATAACCCCAACTTCAAACAATTAGTGACCACTCTTTGGGTGCAGTTATTCAACTAATCCCAAATCTTATTCTGTCATATAACGTATCTCCCAGATTTATGCCAACTAAGACATAAAAGATTTTGTCAACTGCTTCCTGGAAAATAGCGAGAGAGAGAGACAGGCAGACAGACAGAGAGCGAGAGAGAGAGACAGAGAAAAAGACAGAGAGAGAGAGAGACAGAGACAGAGAGAGAGAGAGAGAGAGAGGGGCATAGACAGAGAGACAGAGATAGATAGATAGATATAGATAGATAGATAGATAGATAGATAGATAGATAGATAGATAGATAGATAGATAGATGAGGTTAGTCTCACATCACCTGTTTTTGAAGAAGAAATGCTGGTTTTTAATGACCATTTCTTCCCTTTGTAAATGCCATTTCCTAATGCTTTGTTTTTAGAATATTGCTAAGAATAGAAATCAGCCTCATTGGCCTATAGTTTGCAGACTTTACCCTCTTCTCTTTTTTTAAATTG